GTGAAGTTATGGGTTTGAGAATATATTCAATTTCAGTTTACAAAAGCTAATGCATTTCGACGGGTACTAATTGAAAAAGTTTCCGATATTTGCGTTAATGGTTACCTAGAAATTCTTTAAACCTAAATAATTTAGTTTAGCTCTCTGATAATATTTGTGTTAGACTTAAAAATTCCTTTTCGTTGGTTTGAAAGAGAAGAGTCTTCTTGCGATTAGCTACAAACAACTTTATTTGCGAGATTGGAATCGTAAATGTCGAAAAGACATAAAGCGAGCGGTGTTTCATTTCGTAAAATTGCGACATAAATTGTCGCCACGGAGAGTAAAAGGTTTCATTCCTCGGCTGACATGACGAGTATAAAAAGCTTACAACGGTGATTTCCATTTTGAGGGTACAGCTTTAAAAAAGGAGAATTTACGAGTAGAGATTGTCGTACACTATTGACTTCACTCGTCCAAATATCTACTCAATAAATTAAATGATTTAAAATTTCCTGGAAAAAAATTTTATCGATAAAAGAATATTCTTGTTGTTTCATTTCAGTTCTGTATTAATAACTTCTACCCCATAAATTGGTGGCGCAGTTCTGAAAAAATTCTAATTTTGAAATTCAATCAGCAATCTTCACAATTCTTGTTGTCCTCGAAGAACCAATGTTTTGAAGAACCAATGGTTTGAAGAACCCCTCTAGGTTAAACTAGAGAAAAAAAGGAACACTTTCTCAAATTTTGCCGCTCGCCATTACTAGATCTTTAGTTTTCTTTAATGATGAAAGTATTGGTGCTACAACGTCGTGAGTTAGCGACATATTAAGTAAATAAATAAAAAACTTTGATATGCATTTGCACAAATGTATCAGTGTTAAATCGTTTTGAGACGGGAAGAGACTTTACGTGAGTAAGAGCATCACTATAACAGAACTGTAACTTGAACATTCTAAAAATTCCAAGTTATAAATATCAAACATCCTAGATATTGCTAAGTAATAGCTAAACAGGAAATATGAACATCGCTGAAACAACTAAAATACAAAAAAAGCTTCACCAGCGAGATGTTAAAGGAGTGAGGAACAATCTTAGAAGAGGCACTGTGCATACTTCTTAAAAGTATCTTGATGTACAATAACGTAAAATTGTAACGTAAATTGTATATACCAGGTGTCTGGTACCTGGTATAATGCAAAAATCATTTTTCTTAACCTCGATGACGCCGACATTGAAAACTATCGTCCCATTAGTCTCCTATCACATCTATACAAACTTGACTAAGATTATTACAAACAGGTTAGTCATAATCATGGGAATCTAAAGGCATCAACATCGACGGGACCCTCTACGCTTTGCAGACGATATGTTTAAAATGACCAACGATATCCTAGAATTACCAGACATGCAGCTAACACAACTAAATGTAGCGGCTAGACGAATGGGGTTAAAGATAAACTTTAGCTAAACAATAATAGAACAGCAACACCGATAAAGATGTCACCATAAACAACGTAATGACAAAAAAAATGTAAACTAGTTGAAGGTCATAAAGAGAACACAAAAACGATGTATGCTAGGTATCAGCTTAAGGGATAGAATCAGAAATGAGGATTTTTGATAAAAACTGGTGTCACGGATACAACAGCACGAGTTATGGAGCTAAAGTGACAGTGGGTGCAAAGATGACGTGGAATTGCGGGAACCAGATGGTTTGAGGTGACCCAGGACACAGAGAAACATGGAAACTTATAAAAGAGGCCTTTGGTCAGTAGTTGATATCTGATGGCTGAAGAGAGAGAGGGAGGTACAATGCAAATCAAACCAGATAAGTAGCGAAAAGTATGGATACGTGCGCTGTCTTGCGATAGTTGATTCGTTTTAGAAAATACGCTTGGAGCTTTATGACAAAATCAAATTCAACTTCATGGGAATGCGGGTATCATATTTGTTACTTGTAATGAAAACTTTTTGACAACGCCATGTGGTATATGTTTGTCATGTAATGCACAATAAAGTTTAAATTGTAGGACAATTTTATTTACAATTTCCAACTTTTCGCCATTTGTAACTTCACGTAATTTAATTATTAAATTATATAATCATAGAAATAATGATACTTACTTATAATGTTTTCAGATTTGTCGACGAGGCAATTCACTTGCATTTTTCTTCTACAAGTGTTATGACCGCTTCGATCGTTGACTATGACGTTGGCTATTAGATCATTTCTTTATTGACGGCAGCGCGAATGCTGACGACTTGCCAAAGATGATTTTTTAACCAGTATGTACTCCTTCTGCACACACTTCTTCTTCCCGTTATTTTTCCCTGTATTATTAGATGTAGTAAAGCGTATTTTTCAGAGTATCTCATAATGTTTCTGAAATATTCGAGCTTTCGGCGCTTTATGGTATACATCAATTCAGTTGATTTTCTAAGTTACCGTAGAATTGCTTCATTCGTGATTCTATCAACCTAACCAATCTTCAGGATTTTTCCATGCATCCACATCTTAAGACTTCTATTTTTTTCAATAGTAAACAACCATAGGTAAGTTATAGCATCTTAGCAATCTGATTTTTAAATCGTTATTTAAGTCGTGTGTACAAAAGACCTGCCACATTTTTATTAACGTTGTTCGTGCTTTGTTATCGAAGCCTTCGACAAAGTTCAACGTGATAAGATGCTACAAATGCTGAAAGATATAGAAGTCGATGACGAAGACATAAGGATAATAGCAAATCTATACTGGAAACAAATAGCGAATGTACGCTTACATAATCAATCTTGGGGAGAAGTAGAAAACAAAAGAGGTGTCAGACAGGGCTGCATTCTGTCACCATCTTATAAAATAATTAAATAACTTATTCAATAACATTCGCTATGTAGATGATACATTAGTCTTTGCTAGTTTAGAATCATGGAATTTAAGTGGACGGCATCCAACACCACAAGAGAACAGATTGTCATACCTGCAAGAATTATTAATGAGAGATGTGACTAAAGTGAAAAAATTAAGAATCGCTAAAGCACGAATGGCTAAAGCACGAACAATGTTAATAAAAATGATGCAGACATCCTTGTACTAATACCTGTGTGCAAAACTATGGCTGAGCTTTTTGTAGGTTATTGTGGTTAAGTGTGACTCATTAAAGTTATTAAACCTCTTTCTGAAAGGGTTAAAAGGCGTACAAGATGCCTGACAAGTAAAACCTCTTTTTGAAAGAGTGAAAAGAGGGTTTACTTGTCAGACATCTTGTACGCCTGTTAATTCATCCAGTTTTATTAATAGTTTCGCTTAGTTTTTTGATCCTTTGTGATCTTTTAAACTTTAATGATGGTTTTTGGTTGTTCTGCAATTGTTAGTTTCAAAAAAGAACAATAAAAAATGATCTGAAGAAGGTTATAATAAATTACCGAAATATTAGCTTTTTAAAAAGTTGTTTCTTTAATTAAACCTTGACTGTACACTCCGAATAGTCGTTTTTACTTGTTACTTATGTGTATCGGTCGTAGATACTTCTTTTCCACATCCTTATTGGGGAATCACTTTGAACATCCGCTATTTACAGCTGTTTTCTATTATTATGCAACAATTCGGCCACATATTCTTGCCATCTCTACAGCTATTTCTCAATCTTTAGAATCCTGTTGTCATCTTTATATTCTAGACTGTTGGACGCCTTTTCGTTACTCCCGCTATATCTTTTAGTTTCTTTGTGTAAGTTGAATATGTCGTATATTTTTTCCATTTCATTCCACTCTTTCTTATGGCGTTCTGCTTTAGCTTCTTTAATCATTTGTCTCACTTTCTTATGCAGCTATTTATGTTTGGTCATAGTCATGCTTTTATATTTTCTTCTTTCTTCCGTTAATGCTAAAACAATATTCGTCTCTAGGTTTGTTTAGTTACCTTATCTTTCGACATTAACTGTTTCTTTTGTACATTGAGTATTATATCTATGCATTATTAACAAACATTCCCAGATTCTTCGCCCTTTAATTTTTTCATACAGTTCGTTTTGAGTTATTTCTCTATATATTATATCGCTTATCTTCCCAACATCTATTTTCATTCTTCTTATTTGCATGGCTTTTTCTTTAACAAGTTAATTGTGATCTGTTGGAACGTCAGGATTCGTTTTCACTGGCATTAGTGAGTTTCTGAACCTTTTGCTTATGTAAATATAGTCAATTTAATTTCTTACTATTCTAGCCAGATTATGCGGATGAGAAGTCCATAAATATAGTCTTCTTTCCGACAGATTAAATATTGATAACATTTTTCTCATTACAGACCCTCGCAAAATTGTTACCTTTCTCATTTCTGATTAAGGCTACTCTATGATCATGTAAACTGGTTTTAATCCCCCCTAATATAAAGTGTAGTTGCATAACCAATATGCCATTTTCAGTTCTTTATACAGTTACTATTCTGGGAAGTTTAGTTCATCAGAATTTAAAAAGATTTCTTACCTTATTTTTTATCTTATTTTCCATAGAAATTTTCGCAAAATCACTATTAATTCCATACACATACACTAATACTTTTGTTGAGTACTGTATACGATCACTCATCCAGTCAGGGCTCACCTCGCACTTTCAGTATGATTTATGAGCCTATAACTTTCTGTAAAACATGATTCTTCTTCCTTCACACAGCTAATCTGAAACTTCTCATTTTCGTTCAAGGAAATTGTTTAGAATTCGGTTGAGGTGTTTATGTGTAGCTGACAGGTTTTTTCCAAGGGAAGTAATCGAACAGATTCACCCGCCTTTGGTGTAATATGCGCGTAAAAGGAAATATATGAACCTAAACTAACGCAACTAAAAAGAAGTGTTATCTTCGTAGAAATAAAAAGTTAAAAACAGAAAATATAATCAATCCCATAAATAGATACTGACGATGAATTTCCGACGATCAAGTCATTATACTAGTAATTCACAAATTTATTAGATTCGCATAATTTTAAATAATTCGTTTTACAAATTTATTCAATATGAAACCGTTTTTATTGAATAAGCAAGTTAATTAAAACTGGTTTTGATTTGATTCAAAATTGGATTAACTAATCCACATTTTCCATTGAAGTCATCGGTTTCCAAAGACCACACCATTACACCACCTAATCCACGAGCTTTTGCATAAGCAACCTAAAAATGTTGATTTAAATTAGTAATTTGATAATAATTTTTGCATTCCTTTAAAAGCAATAACCTTTATAGCAATTGATTTGGGATTATCATATCCAATCCATTGATTTCCTTTATAAGCGTAAGGAACTTTTTGCTGATCATCCCAAACAACGGTCCATCCAGCGTTTACATATTCACAAATTTCATTGTATCCTAAATATCCACGTTCTCCTGAGTATTTTTCTGCGGCGCCACCTCCAGTTGTAGGCGCACCTATGTTAGTGTTACCACTATTTTGCAGAGTATAAGATCTTCCATAAGTAGCGACACCCATAACTATTTTTGAAGGGGAAGCGCCTCTTTCAATCCAACCGGAAATGCAAGCATCCTTAAAGCACAAACAATAACAACAAAAAATGGTCTACTGTTTAGTTTAATACAAATTACTTACGACGTTGAGACTTTTTTGGAACGCTGTAACATCAGAAGATGCTGCATATAACGGTGCATTTTGTCCAGTAACTGAATCCCAAGGTCCGTGTAAATCGTAAGTCATCACATTGATAAAGTCTAAGTATGTTGATAAAGCTGGCACATTGTAAGAAGTATCTACTGATGAAGCAGGAGCTGCAACTGCCGCGGATAACAAGTAACCGTATATGTTGAATTCAGTTCGCATTTCTCTCAACAGTGATACAAAGTTTGCCTAAAAAATTTTNATGCGGATGAGAAGTCCATAAATATAGTCTTCTTTCCGGCAGATTAAATATTGATAACATTTTTCTGATTACAGACCCTCGCAAAACTGTCACCCCTCTCGTTTCTGATGAGAGACTTTTATTAAATTTGCTTTAAAATGCTTTTAATTTCCTCGTTGTATCTCAAGTGCTTCTTGAGATACGATATTTTAATATATGGAAAATAATAAATCTATAAGCGTTGGCTATCAACTAATCGACACCCCCACTATCACCACCTCTTCTAATTAATGTAGCAATGTCGCAGTTGCAATTTTTTGCAGATTATCATATTTGAACAGTACTTTTTGCAAATAACATATTATATACCTGTTGAAGTCAGTGAAATCTACAACTTCAGGCTACACTATGATTATATAAACTGGTTTTAATCTCTCTTAATATAAAGTGTAGTTGCATAACCAATATGCCATTTCCAGTTCTTTATACAGTTACTATTCTGCGAAGTTTAGTTCATCAGAATTTATTGAGGTACCTTATTTTTTATCTTATTTTCCATAAAATTTTTTGCAATATCACTATTAATTCAATACACATACACTAATACTTTTGTTGAGTACTGTATACGATCACTCATCCAGTCAGGGCTCACCTCGCACTTTCAGTATGATTTATGAGCCTATAACTTTCTGTAAAACATGATTCTTCTTCCTTCACACAGCTAATCTGAAACTTCTCATTTTCGTTCAAGGAAATTGTTTAGAATTCGGTTGACGTGTTTATGTGTAGCTGACAGGTTTTTTCCACGGGAAGTAATCGAACAGATTCACCCGCCTTTGGTGTAATATGTGCGTAAAAGGAAATATATGAACCTAAACTAACGCAACTAAAAAGAAGTGTTATCTTCGTAGAAATAAAAAGTTAAAAACAGAAAATATAATCAATCCCATAAATAGATACTGACAATGAATTTCCGACGATCAAGTCATTATACTAGTAATTCACAAATTTATTAGAAATAATTCGTTTTACAAATTTATTCAATATGAAACCGTTTTTATTGAAAAAGCAAGTTAATTAAAACTGGTTTTGATTTGATTCAAAATTGGATTAACTGATCCACATTTTCCATTGAAGTCATCGGTTTCCAAAGACCACACCATTACACCACCTAATCCACGAGCTTTTGCATAAGCAACCTAAAAATGTTGATTTAAATTAGTAATTTGATAATAATTTTTGCATTCCTTTAAAAGCAATAACCTTTATAGCAATTGATTTGGGATTATCATATCCAATCCATTGATTTCCTTTATAAGCGTAAGGAACTTTTTGCTGATCATCCCAAACAACGGTCCATCCAGCGTTTACATATTCACAAATTTCATTGTATCCTAAATATCCACGTTCTCCTGAGTATTTTCCTGCGGCGCCACCTCCAGTTGTAGGCGCACCTATGTTAGTGTTACCACTATTTTGCAGAGTATAAGATCTTCCATAAGTAGCGACACCCATAACTATTTTTGAAGGGGAAGCGCCTCTTTCAATCCAACCGGAAATACAAGCATCCTTAAAGCACAAATAATAACAACAAAAAATGCTCTACTATTTAGTTTAATACAAATTACTTACGACGTTGAGACTTTTTTGGAACGCTGTAACATCAGAAGATGCTGCATATAACGGTGCATTTTGTCCAGTAACTGAATCCCAAGGTCCGTGTAAATCGTAAGTCATCACATTGATAAAGTCTAAGTATGTTGATAAAGCTGGCACATTGTAAGAAGTATCTACTGATGAAGCAGGAGCTGCAACTGCCGCGGATAACAAGTAACCGTGTATATTGAATTCAGTTCGCATTTCTCTCAACAGTGACACAAAGTTTGCCTAAAAAATTAAAATTTTAGGTAGATATAAGAAAAAAGATTTACTTACTATGTCTGCGGATCCACCACCTCTTTGAGCTGGGTATTCCCAATCCAAATCAACACCGTTAAAATCATATTTTTGTATGAAATTAATCGCACTTTGAATAAACGTTTTTCTGTTACTTGCCGAAGATACCATTGCAGAATATCTTTCAGATCCTTCGTTCCAACCGCCAATAGCTATTAATGTTTTTAATTTAGAATTTTTAGTACGAAGATTGTTAAAATTTGTAAATCCAGCTAGAAAACAAAATATTTAATAACACAAATAAATTAATAATAATTGCAATTCTTTACCCAAATCTACTCCTTGCCATGGGTCTAAAATATTTATAGTAAAATTAGAATTCAAACCAACGAAAGCATAGACAATATGGGTGCATAAATATGGATCGATATTACTAATGCTAAATTTTCCATCTCCGTTTCTATAAGCAGCCCAATTTCCATGGTAGCACACAACTTTATCTAAAAATAATACATTCAAATTTAGGAAACAGTTTTAATTTAATACTTGAAAACTACATGTATTTGAATAAACTGAAGGAATGCTAAACGATAACGCCAACATTAAAAGGAACAACATCTTGAATGAAATGTTGCTCTATGAAATCAGAATAGAAATTAGCTAATTTAGCCAGAAATTTTAAGATTTTATTTCAAAAGAAAAAGGAATGAAAATTATAGAAATTTTTAAAATAATTGCATTCCGATATTTAAGAACGTTACAAATAGACATTCTTAACACATGTCTTTGCTTGATAAAACAAAAATGCATATGGAGAAATTACTTAACGCGAATATTTAAATATTGTTAATTATGCAACTGATTATCTGAAAATGTTACTCATTTATGTTTGTGTAAAAATTAAAAATAATATATTCACTAAGCTAATTTAATTATTTTCTATAGCTCTTCTTATTTTATCAAAAAGTAAATTCATGAAAATCATCTTCTTCAATAAAAAAAATCGGTATAATGGTGTGAGCATTATTAACAGCGATATCTTAATAGATTTTTCGTTATCAATATTACGATAATAAATTGAAAAATTTTAACATTTTTTTTAACATTTTAAAATTTTAAATTAAAAAATCAAATTGTTGAATTTTTTCTTAATAAAACCACTGTTGTTATCGAAAAGTCTGTTCCTCACCGGCGCTGTTGCTGCATCTCAAACTTCTTACAATTAGTTGCAATCAATCACAATAAGTAATAGGGCCGTTAAGTATTTTTTTTATTGGCTTATTCGAAAGTTTTTAAAATTGATTGACCCTATATGTTTTAATTTTTGATTCTAAGGCTTAGTTTTTCCAAAAAAAAATAATAAAGTTTGAAACTACAGGGTGCGAACTCCAGAGTACGTCACTCAGATTTGAGCGTACGATTGGAGTGTATAAAAATCAATAAAATTCTTGGAGAGAGACAATGCTACGAATCTTATGCGTTAGAAGAAAACAGAAGCAAACGGGAGCGAGCGTAACGTCTGTGATTTCTTTCTTCTTACTTAAAACGACATCTGGAGTCGGGGGTGGGGAATTTTAAACTTTTTCATTAATTATTGCAAAAATTAAACAATTTTCGAACGTGAAAACGTTACTAATCCGTCTAATTTAATTTAGATTATTGATTTTTTTAAAGACGGTCTTTCTAATCGATTGACCTTAACGACCCTATTAGTCTGTTATGGAGCAAACAAAAATAATAAGTTTAATGAAGATTACTATCCTAAAATAGATCCACCTCCCAAACTAAGTAATTGATTCTGACAGGCTTCGAGAATATAAATAATAAATGTAGCTAACTATAAATTGCCAGAAGTGACATCAGCATCGACGAAAATCTGATGCTATATGAAGAGGATCTAGGTTGCGTGTAATATAAAAATGAGAACATCTAGTAGTCAATATTAAAAAAAAACTTGTAAAATAACGCTAAAATAACATATTTATTCGGAACCGGTTTCGAGGTATTCTACTCATCATCAGCCGAATCTACGTTAAAAAACATATCATATGGCAGATATTCCAATATAATATAAGTAGAAAAAGTAATATATTTACAACTTAATGTCATAAAGTTAAAAATAAATCACAGGACTGTAATAACATTTTGTTGTGAAAGTTTCCTATAAAATTTTTTACTTAAACTACAGAAGCAATTAAACCATTAAACAACATCAATAGAAAAATAAAAGAAATAATAAACGCTTGTAAAGAAACTTTACTATACTACACCCCCAAATCAAACAATTCGAACAATTACTTCTTCAATAGTTGCTTCACGCATATGAAACCTGAAATTCCTGGACTTTACTCATTACTCGAAATTCATAAATAAGGTATGTCGATACGACCTATTATTTCCTTTAGCAAAGCTCCTACTTCAAAGTTAGCTAATTTTATGTTCAACGTTTTCACGCTTATTGACTTCCAGCCCAAAATTTCAGTTTCTAATTCACTACAATTCATTCAAAATACCAGGGATATTGAATTTAACAATAAAATTCTTATTTCCTTTGATGTCGAATATTCCTATAAAATATACTACATATTTTTGAAAAAAATTGTAAGAACAACACTATAGTGAAGCATTTGAATACAATTTTGAGACATGTTGTTACACAGAACCACTGCTCTTTTGATAACAACTACTATAAGATTACTGAAGACTTTCCCATGGGTATGTCACTGTCAGGACATTTATTTGACATATTCCTCGACCACATTGAAAATACTTTTATTATCAATTATTGTAAGCGTTTTGAATTTTACTTTAGAATTAGAAAAAAAACAAATCTCTTAATTTGATGACATCTTTCGTAAACCGACTAATGTTCCTACTATAATCCCATATGATTCATCCCATCCATTGCCCCATAAGTTGGCAAACTTCTGTTTTTTATTCAATAGAGTCCTTAACTACCCATTATCAGAAGATGATAAAACAAAAAAATTCACTTATATTTATGAACTGGCTAATCTGGCTATGGTCAATAAATTTACGAATAAAATTATCAATAAACTCCTATATAGAATTAAACTTCAGAAAGATCCCTTATACTTTAAGTGCACAGAACCTAAGATTTACAAACCTATTCCTTTTAACAATATTACAATCTAAAGGTATTTTTTCAATTTATAATATATTCTTGGCTTTTTCAAAGAATAATTCTATTTTGAAATTACTTTCAAATTGTCATATGGAGAGGAGAGACAGTTTTGAAAAATGTGGAATTTATTCTATAGCATGTTCGAACTGCAATGAAATATACATAGGGCAAACAGGAAGAAAATTATGTATACGAACACATTCGCACCGGACATATAATAAACTACAACAATGTCAAACTTATTCACCAATGTAACAAAAATCCAAAAATGGACTTATTGGAGCAGTATGAGAATTACAAATTCAAGAGAAAAGATGGTTATACACTGTTAAATAATCAAATATATATATTGGCTATAACCCATTATTTAAATACTTAAGAGAAATATAATATAATATTTTATTAACTTTTATAACAACATAAAATTTTCTGTTTTTGTTTGAACCCCCGTGTCCGGTTTTGCTTTTTTGTCTATTAGTTGTTCTCGTGCCCCATGCCGAATCGTTTGTTCCGTTTTTTGTGTTCTCATTTTGATGTGTTTTTTAAGATATTGCTCCAAAATAATTTTATTAAATATTGTGTTCCCCTACATTAATTATTTTACTACATTGTACGCTTCTGCAGTGTATGTAAATTATTTAATAAGAAACTTTCACAACCAAATGTTATTGAAATCGTGTGGTTTATTTACAACTTTATGATCTTTATGAACTTTACGTTTTTTAACGTAGATTCGGCTGATGATGAGTAGAATACCTCGAAACCGGTTCCGAATAAATATATTATTTTAAAGCAACTAAGACATTTTTTTACAAGTTTCTTGAAATATTGAAATTGAAACTTGCAACATGGATCCCAAATATATGTCTAGCTTCCAATCTAATCCAGTGCATCTCTCTGTATTCTGGATTCTGGATTCGCGGGAAGATAGGCTGAACCGCCCGCAGCACTTTGACCTCAGCAGATCCCTTGTACTTACTTCCCTCATTTGGTCAGCATTAGGGTCCTTCCAGCCATGTTACCTTGGAGGCAAAAGCTAGAATTTGTCCTGGTTGTGCTGCCCTGATTCCACTCATGCTAATCTGGATATCTCAAAAAATGGATAACCTTAATGTTTGGAGGACCACGCACTCGCATAAAATGTGTTCCGCTGATTCCTCCTCCTCACCGCATCCTCTGCAGATGTCGGTGTCACTTATTCCCATGTTCAGTAAGTGCTTCTGTAGATGCCAGTGTCCAGTGATTAGCCCTATGACCAAACGTAGGTTCTTCCTGGAAGGCCTCATAAATAAATCTGTTCGTTTAGGAGCGGGGTACATCAGAGCCTCCTTGGCTTGGCGACATCCTGGTGCCCTGTCCCAGTAGTTTAAAAACTTCTTACATGTTTCCTCTTTTTGAAGCTCTATTAAAGACCTTATTGTTAGGGCAATGAATGGTTTCGGCGATCCCGGAGGTTCGCCTGCAGCTTTCCTTGTCAGTTTGTCCACCATGTCATGGAGCTTATTTCCCGAATGACCCTTTGTCCAGCAAAATGAGATCGTAATCTCATTGCTAGCGGCTACCTCACAAAGATGGTTATGGCAGTCCTCAAGCAACGAGGATGAACAGCGATACCACCCGAGCGAGATTAGGGCTTGTCTGCAATCAGAATATATTATAATTTTTTTACTACTAATTTTTTTGGAAATTTCCTCAGTCGCCAGAGAAATGGCCACCAGCTCCGCTTAGAGCGTCATATTATTGAGACTTATTTGCAAAGTATATTCCAGCAACTCATAAAAAAAATAATCTCTATATGAGTTAGCGCGATATTGCTCTGTACGTTGCAGCAAAAGAGACGAATCTGAAAAGAAAACAAAGGAAGACGTTGCAATATGGCATTATGATATGAGAAAAGAGACTGCACGCACTGTAGAATGCTAATTAGAATTACAAAAATATTAGAAAATTAACTCCTTATCGCCCCCGTCTATTAAATATGGCACCGTAACACTTTTTTACAATTTTGAAGCAAATTTTTGCCGTTACTGCGTTCTCGCATATTTGACACGGTTAGCTGGACAAAAACTAATATTTTGTGTGCATGTGTTCGCCGGTCAAATTCCTTATTTTAGGTGTTTGTAACTATCAAAATAACGTACTATTGTGAGTTTGGAAAAATTTTAACCACAAGGTCTTCGTCTTGTGTCATATTTGGCACAATTCTTGGTAATTTTTTGATGTGAGTAATTTTTCAGATGAATACAAAGACTTTTTATATTAAAAGTAAAGTAACAGTGAGTATTATTTCAATATGCTTTTATTCATTTTATGTTGTATAAACGTTTAAAACATTTGAAATTTGCATGCACATTTAAAAAGCACTACTACGGTTTCTAATAGCTACGGTTTAAGCTCTGGCCAGGAAAAGGGAAAAAGCGTTCCGAGCGCTGCTTCTTCTCAGTACTGGACAATTGGCCGGATCAACACAAGCAGTATTAGTTGCGTCCAAATAAACTTGCCCATTAGAACACTGCGGGGTGTTACATGATTCCGCGCAGACCTTATCCGGACATCCGGTAGCCATATTGGCACAATTCTTTCTTGCACACGGCGTATCACACGTGTAATATTCTTTACCTGCTGCACACTGAAGTGCTAGAGTATAAAAAACGAAAATTAAACATTTAAAAGAAATAAATCTAAAATGTTTACTTACGACAAATCGTAGAAGTTCTCCAGTTAACTGGAGCTCCAACATCAGCACATTCTTGTGCAAAAGCCGCCAGAATATCGCAATAATAAATACTTGTTTGAGTTGGATCTAAATCAGCTTGTAATTGACCACTCTTAATACATGACTGGTAATATTGTTGTTGATTAGCGCTAAGAAGGAGACCGCAAGTTTGGAAAACATCGCTAAGGATGTACTCGCACTCGCTAACAATGATCATATCTTCCAACTGAAAAAATATATAACATAAAACAATTGTTGAAAAAAAAATTAAGTTAAATAATTACTGGTATCTCGGAAGTTGCATCGCAAGTATTATCAAGACGATTATAATCGACGAAATCGGCAACCCCATTCAATGTTTGTCCAGTAACTTGTAAATCATTTGTTGGATCGTTATCGTAAACACCACATAATCCAGAGAATGGCTATATAAACATAATAAGTAAAATGATGAAAGAAATTTTATCATTCATTTACCCATGTTAACCAATTGGGTCCAGCATGAATATGAATCCAACCATCAATACCCCAAATGATCCTAGCTCCAAAAGCGATTACATCAACCATAACAGAAGCACCCAAATCAGTGATGACAAGATTTTGAAGATTTTGTGATGCGACGTAATTTTGTCCGGGTGCGAAAACAACATTATCTATATTTCCATTTTCAGCTCTGAAACGAATATAAGCGGCAACGATGCATGCACCATGCGGGCAGAATCCCGTTTCAACGGAAACTCTAAATGATCCGGTTGTTCCAAAGTCGTGTTGTAACATGACGTATTCACAGAATCCATTAAAGGAGAAGAAGGTTTCATCAAATGTTCTAACGTGAACATCACCAAAAACGCTGCAAATTTCCCAGTGATCCGTTTCAGGGACGCATTCCCATAATCCATCCACGCAAGTACTAAAAAAATAACGATCAAAATTATTTTTGAAATCTAACATAAGATATTGATTTACCATCTTTCTTCGCGATTACTAATAACTGAATCATCTGGGTAACTAATTCCTTTGTACAAACATGGGCAGTCGATTGGCCTAACACATATTTCAAGGGCAGTATCCAAAACAAATCCTGGTAAACATTCGCATCCTGCAACGCAATTATCGTAGTCACCTAGTTCTTCCAGATGTTGATTGTAACAAGTTAAAGTGTTAACTCGTTTACACCCGGCGTATCGTTTCGAATCGATTGCCGAACATTCAACGGTAAATTCTTCTACTGAAGGGAAGTCACGCATATCTTGTGCGGTTGCTGCTGTTATTACCCAACGAGCATTTACGCAATCGCTGTAAAGAAAATTGTTATTAAACCATAAGGGATGGTTAAGAATTTTTGCTTACTATCTCAAAGCTTCATCTTCAATTACAAATATAAATCCACCCGGGAAACGAACACCCTCATAAATACAATTGCATTGAGATATTGGAACACATTGATTTTTATCGTTAAAAGCTTGTCCTTGTGGACAAACGCAATCTTCGTTAGAAATAAGACATTGTCCATCATTAGTGTTACGACTAATATCATCGCAGGTTCGTTGACAAGGATTAGCTTGGAATTGATAAGTTGTTCCAGCAGGGCAAGGGAAGGGACATTGTGTAACTGTTGATCTCCAATCAATGACCGTTCCTTTAACGGCGCATTTTCTCGCTTGAGTTTCGTACATGCCACAAAGACATTTGGGATCCTATGTAAAAATAACGAATTAATTAAAATAAGTTCTTGGATTTCTTTTTTTTTTGGTTTTACATCATTTAGACAAAGGCAGCCATCATAAACGCAAGCATCGTAATCAGCTTGAGGATCTTCAGAGCATCCAGCAAATAAAGGACCGAGAATGTGGGCGCAAAATTGTTCTGCTGGTGGTTTCTTACTTGGATCAGCTACGCAAGGATCAACAGCATCATTTTGGTAATCATTTGTACAACTTCCCGGTACTTTCCACGAATTGCCGAAATCTAAAAGATTGGCAGCCAGTGTACCGTCAGGTTTTCTCATGTCATCAGCTGTCGATTTTGAATAAACACCAAGTAATCCCTAAAAATTATTTCCTTAAAATATTCTTAAGTACAAAATTTTTAAATCTTACTTCAACTCTGTTAATCATTCTTTGAGGGATGACCACATAAACACTCCAAATACCGTTAAATTGAATTTCAACGCCATTTTCTAAAATAATTGCGTGGTATTCAGCATTCTTTTGAACAACGCGAATTCCATCTCGAATGTATGGGAAATGTTTAACCGGGCGATTATCGAATTTCGTTATCTTTTGTTGTCCTATTTTAATAACGTGGCCATTAGATATAACTCTGATACTCATACACAACGATGGTGCATTAGATGCGAAATCTCTCTAATTACAAAAAAATACTTTCAATATTTTTTTAAACATATAAAAATTTTCTTACGTAAGGTACTCCTTGCGCATTTCGTACATAATGTTCACAAATAACATCAGCAAAGAAACTTCGAAGAACGTAATAATCACATTTACCCATGAAATCATATAATAAACCATCGAAGGTTTTGTAGTGGGGGTCACCAACGCAATAACCAGTTTCACAACAACATTTTGGATTTGGGCAATTCCAATTACCGTTTGTACATGTACAAAGATTACAAACTTGTGTAACGCTTTCTCCAGATTCGTAACGTCTCGAATTGTAGAAACAAGGGCATTCGCTGGTCAAAACACATTGTCCTTCAAACCAACGCATACCCGCTGGACAATAGCAACCTTCCTCGCAATCGATTCTAGTTGGATCAGCTTGCGGAGATTGACCACAAGAAAGTTGTTGACGGTTGATTGGGCAGGTCATATATTGTTGATCAATATTATTACAATTTATTTCTAATTTAGAAAAAAGTAAAATGAAAAAAAAATTTATTAAGAAATAATTAAATAAGAAACTTACTGCATAATCCAAAACTTCTCCAATTCATAATGTTGTTGTTCTTCGTTTGGCACGCTCTTGTATACGAATCTAACAAATCGCATTGGCATTCTTCCGGTGTAGCTTTCTTACAACCGCAATAATTTGATTGGCAAATAGTTTTGTATAAAGCCGTAAATGCCTACATTTAAAGAAAATGTAATAAGTAATAAATTTTTGTAATATTTGTATTTACCGAACAGCCAGTAAATTCTGTTCTTCCAAAAAGACTGTTGCAATAATTATTAGAATTTTTAAGAGCTAGCGGATTTGCTCCACAAACGCTTTGGAAGGTTGAGCTTTGACAGTTATCTAGAATCAAAAGAAGTATAATAAATAAAAATGAAATTTAAAAATCAAGAGTTAGATGACAAAAAAACACAGGAAGAATTATTATGTTAAGATGGTTATCATAATAGTTCATCAGATTAATCATAAGTACTCAGACTTTCGTTTGGTTCTTAAGATGATATGACATGATAAGTTGTTGGGGCCATAACTATCGCTGCCTAATGACTACCATTACAAAGAAATGACATGTTTCAGTAGGCACCAGTAAGATCAAATTTATCCTCTGTTATACTATATTATTTTAGCACCAAAAATTGTCTTGGAAGTTATATTGGTCTGTTGTTTTAGTTGAGCAGCCCCAAATAATGAGTACTACCCATAAGTACTGAAAACGCAAATGGTACATATCTGTGTTTCTGCTTAACTTTCTTTTATGTAAGATAAATTTCATATTGCCAGCACACCCAAGAATTTGCTACAAATCCAAATAAATTTTCCATTATTAGGCAAAAAACCTTGATGTCTTGTTTAAACGACATCTGAAAACGTACTGAATCATATCAACAATGTTTGATTAATAGCTGTAAATGCTATATGAATGTCTTCCTAACGACTGTATACCAAATAAACTATGTCTAAATAACCTTACTACAAGATTTGTCTCGTTTTTAATGACAGTGATAATACAATAAAATAGTTGTCATCTTCAAATAAATGTGGTTGGAATCGGAATTTTCTTTATCTGTAGTGCTAGATTCCTTTATGGCTGTGGTCAAGAAGATTTGGTGCAGACACGAAGTCTCTAACTTCGATGTTAATGGTGAGATATGATAAGTGCTGAGACTTTTATGTGGTTCTTAAGATGATACAACTTGGTAAGATTCCATACCCGACACTAAAACACAGCTTATCTTCTCATGTACCAAATTTCTTTTTAGTACTTGCCAAGAGTTGGTTTTGAGATTATATTCACCTGTTGATTGAGTTTAGAAGCATCAAATTATGAGCTCACAATACAAGTGATCTTTATTTCTACTATCCATTTTTCTTTATAAGTTCTTGGAAAGGTTTTACGATATCAGTACATTCATGGATTTGCTTAGAAATCCAAGATACCATTTGAAGTGTGCGCCAAAAATCGTTGATATCTTCATTAGAAAACTGGTTCTGCTAGGGTATCGGGCGGAACGCTGGCTCTCTTCAGTGTGAGGTCTTTATGTATTCTTTTCTCGTTGTGGTCAAGGAGGTCCTCATGATCAACACGAAGTCTCTAACTTGCAGCTATGGGGAGATTGGTAAACATGTGCAATACTGTAGAACTTCGCAATCAATTTAAGAAATAACAGTAAAACATACAGGCTAAATAACAAGTTAGTGACTTTATTAGATATTTACCCTGACGAAGGGTATTTCAATTCATTTTATGTTTTTAGATCACTCAAATATTGCTGACATTAGCTTGCGTGATTGTTTTTAAACAATGTTATTTGCTGACCTTGACTTGCCGTTGGTTTACGAATCAGTTGTTAGTTGTGATACATTACATATACGCTAATCGTTCCGTTCGAAAAACGAATATAAAGCGAAACTGAGGTTCGATTGTAACCAATAACAGTCCAGACCGCCAGTGTAACATGTGATTTCCGGATGCAGAGGACGAACCACAGCCGACACGTATTTATTTTCTGACCATTTCTGTGACTATATTTTTAATTTGTGGCTTAATGCCATAAATGAACATGATAATCTGGGGTAAACATTTTGAAGAATCGAAGATTCACTGAATTTCTTTTTTACCATACCACAATAAAAACTTTTAGTTGCTTACCTAAAGCCCAATTATTAGCCCATTGAATGGGTGAAGTTACAATTGTACCATCACTCAACATAAGATCATTATTATCACATCCGTCGTTATTACCACATAAACCAGATGGAACCATAACATTATTTTGATTATCTTGAATAACTTCAACCAACTAAATAAAAAAAAATGTTAATTTAAAAAGTATTAACACAAATTTAATAGCTTTACATACATCACCATTAAATCTAACTTTAATCCCCAAGTTTTTTAATTCAATAATTGCCATACTTCCCGGTTGAGAAACTGTAACTCCCGCCACGGTACTTGGAATTTTTTTAGGAACTCCATCGACGGTAAAAACTACGTTTCCGTTAACATCTAAGGAAATAAGGTAATTTTGTGATTTATAAAGTAGTTGAATAGCGGAAGGTTTTTTTAAGTAGTTTATTTTCAGATTTCTATCTAAAATGTTAACCAGGGTGAAGCTGCAGGTTGAAGAAACACTAACAACTTTGCCATCAAATTGTTTTATGTGGGTTGAATCGTAAACTACACAATCAGTAACAGCCTAAGTAAACAAAAACAGATTAAATTAAAAAGAAAGGTTTTAATACAAACAAAACACTTACATCTCTTGTACATTGCGAAGATACATTTGCTACTAAAACGGTAGCTATGATTAACAAAGAAAACCTCAACAACTCCATCTTCAAACTAACTGATATTTTTTTGTGTTAAATTAGCCTTATATACTCCTTAAATAATATAAAGTATTTTTTATTGGACTATTGTTTATGTATTTTGTTGGGAAAGGTAAAAATTACAAGCTAAGAAATTTATGATTATAATTGCGGTTATAATTTTTCTGTAGATTTGAAAAGTCACATTTTTTTTCTTATTTGGAGTTTTTATTGCCATTTGTCCTGAAGTTTCTTATCATTTCTTTAGCAACAACTAAAAAAAATATTTCAAACAAATTATTATATTTATTTGATATCAAATTTAATATAAATTTTTATTATTGGCCTCAAATAAACAAAGTGCATTCTCGTTTACTTTATGAACAATATAAGCTATAAATATTTTATAAAACAGCTCATAAATCATATTAAACTTAATTAAATATTCACTTTTATTACTTTTTTCGTTTCTATAATTACATTTATTTATAATATGGTTGAAGTGTAAAGTCGTAATTTGAAAAGCAACAGAGCAAATAATACAGAAAAAGGTTATAAGGATGTATCGGTTATCTTGCGGTTATCTTGTGAATTCTCGTGATTTATAAGAATAATAAAAATATTCTAGATTTTTAAAGTAATTCTTTCTCTTTTAATGAAAAAAAAAGATTTCAACATTAATTAATCACATGTAATTTCGATCATCGTATTTTGATATCAACTAAATTCATCAAATCGATTTTTCAACACAAAAAGAACGATTTGGTCACTTAATAGATTAACACGTTGATGACAATGTGTTTGTAAACATGCAGATAAAATAAATCTTGATATTGATTTATTCATTGATTCAGAAGAAAAAAAGTTTCAAATATGTCAATAAAATCTTTCAACTTCCATTAATGCTTTGACAATGATTGTATTATATTCTACAAGCGTTCCTTTAATTTTAATAAATGAACAACAACACAATATGATAATCACATGTAGCTTTGTGAAGTTATTTTAATGATTCAAAGCCTTGTTGTATGTTAAAAGATTGGAGATGCTGACATTATCATTAAATAGTTTGCAATGTAAGACAAAAAGCAGTAATCCACTTAGTTATTACTGCGCAAATCGATTGCCGGACTGATGTAGGGGATGTAGATGATTACGATCTGGTTCTTGCTGAAAACAATGAAAATATTGCGTTATCGAATTTAATTATAGGACTCATGGGAACATAAGGTTTCAAATTTCTTTGCTATTCACAGTAAAATATTCTCCTTCATAAATCAATTAGATCTGTTTTCTGATTCTAGGAAGAAAAAGTTAAGCAAAGTACACTACCCTGCCAAAGAGAGGAAAATTCAGAGCTTTCCCTCAGCACGCATAGTTTGTACTCTACTACATCTTTATTAATGGATTAATGAAAACTTGTGAAGGAGATGAACGACAAATGCCTAAAGAAACCATGTGTTCAAACTCTTTCTTTTTGCTATAGTAATCTGGTGGTGAAAGAAGTTTTGAAAATTTTGAATTTGGTAAATTTAGTTTTAATGGTAAAAAATTTAGGTGAAGAATAGAGACCTTTTGAAAATAATTTAGTTGTATTATCGTTTAAGTTACGATTAAACGAAGAAAATCTGCACCAATAATAGGTTTATCTACATCTGCTATAGTAAAGATGTGAGGAAAATTTCGTCTTAACTGTAAAGTTAATATTAATAGTTTTTTTAGCAACCATTACCTTCACATTTTTTCCCTTTGTCGTCAAATTTAAAGTGAAAATGATTGGATGAAATTACGAATTCATTAAATTTAACTTTTGGATAATTAATATTGAATTATATTTGCAACTGCCATTGTAGCAATTGTTATAAATTGGCATTATCAATTGCTGATAAATTCGTAAAGGATTTAATCAGCTCTGTTTGTAGAGTTACTAGGGCTGCAGCATCCAATTTGTTAACTACGATATTTTCAAATTGGGAAAAGGAGACCGCTTAATATTCCCAAACCTTGCTTCAGGAAAATACATTCCTCCGTTTTTTATTTTTAAGAGGAAGCGTATGAATGCCCAGTTGTTCCCTAGAGGCAATGCTGATATGATAGCAGCCGTTAGCGATTCGAGTTGGATCAACGAAAACCTATTCGTAGATTGGTTACACCACTTCATCTCCTATGCTAAGCCAATTGCTGCAGAGCCAATTCTACTTATTCTGGACAATCATAAAAGTCATGTTAGTCTTGTTTGCTACCTGCTTTGTCGCCGAAATGGAATAATATTGTAGCACCACATACATCGCATCGTATGCAACCACTGGACTTAACAGAAAGACACAATAGCCATCGTAATTTTCGTCGTTGTTGGCCTACGCTTCATGAAGGCATTAGCATCGCATCCGGCCATCACCTAACGCCTTTCTTTCCAAATAAATCAGATTTCACAGGATTGTAGAATAACAAATTAAATAGTTGTAGATAAAGTATAGTATTCAATTTGCGTACAATGGATGTTACCAACTCAGATTACACAGAGAGTGCGACTTGTACATGGTCAAACTTTTTTTTTTTGGTCGAACTTTCCAAAAAAGCTTTCAATCATAACAGCAATATAGAGAGCGCAGCAAACGGCTTTCGGGCAGCTGGTATTTGGCCAATAGATACAACCAAATTTGATAAACATTTCGTAGATGCGACATCACTACCTAAAAATCCTATTGGAAATTTGCAAAGTGGCGTAACAGTGATGCCTCATGCGCAGATAGCATCGACATCAAATGTACAGCAAAGACCAGTAATCCCTGTATCTGTTTTGGATAACTCAATCCCACTTGAAGATATTCTTAATGTTGCCAAACTAGCACATCTAAAAAGTAAACAAACTCGCAGAAAAAAAAAACACTCAGCTATAATAACCAGTAATCCTATGAAAGATATTTTAGCAAAAGAAAAATGCGAAATGGAAAGGAAAGGAGCACATGAAAGGCATTGAAAAACCTGTAAGTTCCACTAAAAGTAAGAAAGATGTGATAATCTAATATGATAATCTTGCATTTGTAGATGATAAGAATAAGATAAAGGTCGAAGAGAAGGATACACCAAAGAAAAAAAAGGCCAATGAAGGAGATGCGAAGGAGAAAGAGTATTATTGCCTAATTTATGATGAAAGGTATGAGGATCCTACAAGTGAAAACTGGATAAAATACTGCAATTGTAATGATGATGATGATTAGTGCACCAATAACTTGACACAGTAATACACCAGTTAATTTGGTTACAAAATATTATTACCACACTTGATTTATTTTAATAGATTGTTAATCTTTATTACATCGTTACATTTATATTTTATAACACTAAAATTATAATTTTTCAAATTTAAATGAAAGTTCTTTTGACCCCAATAAAAATGCTCTTGTATTAAAAAGATCGCGAGTTTCAGAGTATTGTTGATAGGAATGTATACGAAATTTACTAAAATCCTTTTTGTAATTCGCGACGATAATGAAAGCTCTAACAGTACTCAAACGGGTGCTGTAATGAGATTTCAGTAACATTTTATGGAACCAGTTCAAGTTGGTGACATTGGGTCATTAATTTTTCTAGTTGTCAATGTGACAATTTTTGTCTATGGATGTTTAAACGTGTTCTTAGCATCGAATACAAAGTTCACAATGATGAAGACATTGAACACTAAGCAATTTCTCTTATTTTGGGAGGTGTACATGAAACATTTTTTTCAGGTGAATACATTTACAAATTTCTATTTTCAAGTGTTACGGTGTTACCAACTGCTACATACCTATTTCCCTACATTGTCAAAATTTATTTTATTTTTGTTTAAAAAAAAGGATAAAAACGCGAATTACAAAAAATAGCATAAAAAACACGTTTGATAAGACTTAAAGCACTCATGGCTCGTCACTCGTGGCTTCGCCACTCGTTTTTCAACTTGAATTCATGCATTTCAAGCGTGTCTTACGAAACTTGTTTCTTAATACACTATTACAACTGCCTGCTAACATAACTGATATTTTACCCAATCTGAAACCTAAATAGTTATTTTTGATACAAGATAGTGAAATGACACTTTTGTATTCGAGAACGAAAGTTTCGAAAAATCGTTCGAGAACGCAAAAGAATTTCGCTGTCGTATATCAAACAACATTTTTTCGAAAACTGCGTGTTCTAAAGTTTATAAATTAATAAAACGACCAAATTCTGTATAATGACATTTAGAATTCATTTAATGTTATGTCAAAAACTTATCGTCACATCGACTTAACCTCACATATTGAACAAATGTACTATTATAAATTTGCTTTTAAACATGAAAAGAAATCATAATAGTATATTATTCAAGATGAAGTTGCAACACGAGCGAGCGAAGCGAGTGAGTGTTGTAATCTGAGTGGGTAACATCCATTATACGCAAGTTGAATACGATATTTTATCTACAACTATTTAATTTGTTAATTTGTTATTCTACAATCCTGTGAAATCTGATTTATTCGGAAAGAAAGGCGTTAGGTTCCGGATGCGATGCTAATGCCTTCATGAAGCGTAGGCCAACAACGACGATAATTACGATGGCTATTGTGTCTTTCAGTTCTAATTAGGTATACTTTAATTCACAAATTTCTCATTCTCGTACATAACACTTTATTTTAGGAAGTGATATAGTGTAGCTATCCTGCACTTATTAAGAATTAGTCAGATTTCGCGCCGATATTGGTATTTACAAAACACGCCCACCGTCGATTTGAAAAAACAAGATTCAAGAATCTCGGTTTTGATATGGGTCCATGGATACAACCCTTACTAATTAATAACACCACTTCCATATCCTAAAAGTACTCTTTTACAAACCTATACACACCAAAGAACATCCCAAATTGCGCAGTCCCCTTTTTATCCCCTTTTCTCATACAATTAATTAATCTTCTTCAACAACAATTTCTCCAAAACCTTTTGCATAATAACAGAATTAAAACCATATAGTTTCGGGATATCGACCGGCTTCGCCCTGATAGCTCTAC